GAAAATGGATTTTGAATAATTTTGACTGATATGTCTAAGCTAGAGCAGGGACCAGGTTTCTAAGGTTTCTTTGACAAAATATGAGCACATGCTAAACTTTAAGCATGAGGGCTTCAGTTCATGAATGGTATAAGAAGTCAGGATTTGACTTCAGATGGACTAATAATTTGCCTAGAGTTACATACATGCTTTAACCACTTTGCTGAATTGGGCCAATAGACATTCCCTGGTAATAGTCATCTGCACCAAAACTCCTATTTTCTTCCATTTATGGCTGTTTTAGAACACCCATCACAGCAAATCTAGGAAAATATTATCCAAGGTATCATCTCAGGGTCAACTATTTTAGGGTGGAATTTTTTCAGACATCCCTAAACATGTTTTTAGGTGAGAAGTTGCTATTTAAAAATTTCTATAGCGTATTCTAGGATGGCATATATTAATAATTTAGTTTTGGGTACCTTTTATCACAGACCCAATCTTGTACCATCAAGGCGCATATTCAATGCTCTAACAAGGCTTTTCCATAAATAGCTCTGTGGTTCTCGTTACCATGTTCAGAGTTTTTGGTTTGTTCTTTTCCAGATCTCTACAGCTGGTGGGGTAACCTACAAAAGAATCAGCAAAAAGCTAGCTTAAGAAAGAGAATTGATCTTCCAGCGCACTGATAAATAAATATAAAGACAATCAATAAACCAATTTTAGAAACTCTATTTCTCGGTTTCTATTGCAAATAAATGAGGGAATAGTTGTTTCAAGGAGAGAGAACTTCAATTTTTCATGTTAATATTATCACTGTTTGTGTAACTAAGGGTTTGGCACACACCAAGCCAGAAACATGAGATTTAAATCAAAGTGCAAACACATATATAGTGACTGGGCTGCAGTTGAATTTTTTCAGGATTCATTTTGTGCATGGCATATGTGAGTGGTGTCTATAACCAACTGGTAGATTTGGCATCTGACTGTGCATGAAAGCAGCTACCATGGTGAGAGCAGAGGGAAGGAGTTCGCCTTTGTCTCTAGCTAAAAAGCAGATATGCAGGATTTTTACATAATTGAAAGGCTACATTTATGTTTTCTTATGATCAACTCCTTCGGTATCAAAATAAGGTATTTTGATTACATACAATGGCAGTGAAATCATCTAGCTTTGCTACTGTTGTGACTGACACTGCTGTTACCCCTCTTTATCCAAGTGGTTAGCCAATACATGTGGGCTTGCAAGGGTATGTTTGTTTAGAAGGAGGATGTTTAGATTCCCTCCCAGACCTTTTCCCAGACCAGCACAAGGTATTCTGGATGAACTAAGTGGAAAACACTTCATCCAGTTCTCTGGTGTCCAAAAAATTTAGCTTGAATATAGATTTTGTCACTCCACTTCCTTAATTTGACAAGTTAAACATGCTTTCTTCACCTGAACCCTCTGTCTTTCTCTACTTACCACCTCCCCATCTAATATCTCCAGTCCTTTGTTTCCTAATACTGGGTCCTGCCCAGGAAGGATTCACATGCTTAATTTGCCTCTTCCCTCCTGCTCCACTGATTACATGCTTATCAAAATCAAATTGCCACAAGTGACTCCTAAAATTGTAGCACCTTCCAACATCTATTCCAAAATGCCTTTTGTCTAGGTTTATCCATAGTTGTTAACTGATGGTGGGGTAAGTTCATAACCATCTCTCTCGATAAAGTCTGTCTGTGATTCATCCAGACATACTTAGTACCATAGGGTATGTCTACACTACCCTCCTAGTTCGAACTAGGAGGGTAATGTAGGCATACCGCACTTGCAAATGAAGCCCGGGATTTGAATTTCCCGGGCTTCATTTGCATAAACTGGGCGCCGCCATTTTTAAATCCCTGCTCGTTCGAACCCCGTTTAAAAATGGCGGCTCCCCGCTTATGCAAATGAAGCCCAGGAAATTCAAATCCCGGGCTTCATTTGCAAGTGCGGTATGCCTACATTACCCTCCTAGTTCGAACTAGGAGGGTAGTGTAGACATACCCTTACTCCCTGTTTAACAGAACAGAAAGAAACAGGTTTGGGGAGCAACCTGTAACTCGGGGGTCCTTGGTCAAATGACCCTGCACTTGGATCACTAGTGCTACTCTGCCTCCTATGAGAAAGATTTCCAAGCAAAGGACCCATTCAGATTTTAGAGCACTTAGAAAGGTTAAGTTGTAAAGCTTATAAAATGGTGGGAGTATAGGAAACCCTCTGCTGTTTTTCTGTAATTTGCCGTTCCTGGTGGGTGGTTTGTGGAGTTGTGGGCCTCTAGGGGAAGGAAACCCCAAGGCTAGAGCCTGTTGCTGGGGAGCTGAAAAAGAGAAGGAGGATGCTGAGGCAGGAGGATGATAAAGGCTGCCCCTCCCCCTACCCCTCAGTCTACAACCTGGTGGCAAAGACCCCCTCTCACACACAGAGTGCTAGGAGGGGAGAAAGGGCTGTGGATGTGGGGTGCTGGGTGACACCAGCTTTGGGCTACAGGTAAGGGGACCTGATGAAGACTGGCTGTGGTACTCCCCTGGGGAATGGGCCCTCTGTACTGGTGGAGGACCAGGCCTCACAGCTGGAGAGAGATTTTGATGCAAAATCCTGTTTCCATTAACTCAGTAGGAATTAAAGAGAAGGCACGTTCTTTTGTCACAGTTTCAGCTAGTGCTCTGCCCAAAAAGCTCTCTTGGCTTTTTGTCAGGGTTTCACTGCAAGTGCTTCTCCTGGGCTTTCTGGCTGCTTCTCTCTATTTCTGCTCTCCTACACACACATCCAGTCAACCTGTGTTTGCATTCAACCCACGGTGAAACCCTTCCAAGCACAGAGCTCAGCTTCTGGCCATGCTCACCCATGACTGCATTTCAGTTCTCTTGCTGCAAAAAGCTTAACTGCGACAGTACTTATATTTGTTCTGAATGAAGGGTATCTAACACCACCAGGAGCTTTAACAAGGTTTTACCCACCTATGTTATAGCACTGGCTGCAGGAAAGCCAATTTATATGGCATAGGCCACATGTAACTTATGTGCTGGTTTTGCTCAACTCTTTTGTTGCCAAGACTAAAATACATCTTGTCAGAGAACATGCTGAACTTTAACTGGTGAAACAGGAGTCAGGTCTGAAAGCTGTGCATGCTTGGAACCTTTTGCTGCTGCTTACAACAAATAGATTTACCACACGCTTCTGTTTAAATCTAGCCTCCTCCACCATATTGTTAAATGATGGCAAAGCACTGATTTTTTCCTACCCCTCTCTTCAAGAATGCGCTTCCATTTCCACACTATCCTCTCTCACTGGACAACAGACTTGATTTCTGAAGGCAGCTCATCAGATTCAGAGCATGGCTGTCAACAATGGAGACATAAATCACCATCACAATTTCCTAAGGCTGCGGGGTCAATCCTCCAGTAGTGAGTGGTCTCTTGGTGTGTTCACTCAGACATTTTGCTAGCTGTACAAAGTGTTACTTACAACAATCTATTAAGTTATGAAAACTTCCAGCACCGCTGTAAACCTCTGTGGAAAGTCCTTCTCTAGCCCATGAATAATGATTTCAGTTTTTATGCATTTCAGTGTTAACGGGGTCTTAACTTGCACAGGGACACAAAAGTTAAAGGTCACATGATCCACACAAATTTTAAAACTATCAAAGTGTGAGAATAGATGGGAAAGAATGAGTTTAGGAAATTCATTATGCAAATATGAAATGTAGTCACACAAAGTACCTTTAAGACTTGGATATGATACACATAGAAATACAGTTGCAGAGGTGAGAGTCAAGTACTGTACCGAAACAACTCAGAGCCACATTATGCATTCAGATCTTAATAAAAAATTAGAATCAAATTGCCACATTACCTTCACATTGGCGTAAATCACGTCTATTCATGTCAAAATTAATGCAAGAAGGTAAAGGGGAGCACCTAGTTTATGGTTTTCTTTTATTTGCTTTGGAGATACCAAAGAAAAGATTAAAATATGCCCAAATGAAGCTAATTTTTGATGCAGCTTACAAAATTAGATGAATTTGAACTCTGTTTGGGAATATTTGGCCAAAATTCCAGTATTGGCAATAAGAAAATGTTATGTCAAGCTAATTAAAATTCTACTCATACTAATAGTAATACATTCTAGAATGTCACTATTAAAACAGATTAATTTAGAATCATGGAGGAAAAACTATACTTACAGAAGAAAATTAGAAAGTCTATTTTACACACTAATAGGTTGCTGTCAACTGAATGGAAAGGTAACTACTGTTCCTACCCTCTGCCTTCCAAGATGCTTTTATATTTTTTAATTGTGATGTTTTATTAGCCTTGTGAAAGCTCCTACTGTTGAAGGAATGTTAATAAGGGACTGGCCAAATCCCTGCAGGCACTTGAAGTATGTATTGGAGAAAACTACCTCTAAGAAACGTTACACCATGGGGAATCCACTTTCATTCTGAATACTGACTTTTTGGAGGTGGAATCGGGGAAAGGGTAGAACTGGCATTTGTTTCATGCCAGCGGCCATGGGGTTCAGATTTTACCAGCATTCTAAACAATGGAATTAAAAATAGATAAATAAACTAAATAAAGTGCTGGAATCTAAATCAAAACTTGCAATAAGATGAAATTTATATAAACAATTTATTCTGATTTGTAGAAAGAAATATACCACAGTGCACAATGCATTTAACAAACATTACATTTCACAATATGCCTCTTAATCATGGGTAATTATCTCCATTTTACAGGTGAGAAAACTGAGGCATGGTGTAGCAACTTGCAAGAGAGCATGATATGCCAGATGTTTCAGGCTGTGTCCTTGATTATGATTCAAGTCAATTAACCAACATTCTCAAATCTGAAGTATCAGGCATATGGCAAATCCTAATTTGTAGTGAGAATATTAAGATTGCATCCTTTTTTTTGTTTTACATGGTCTGTACCTCAGTGTCCCACATTTTTTAGAATGCCTTTTTTTATAAACATGCCAATTTTCAACCAAATTTAAGCCACTAATTAATGTTTGTAGAAGAACCTCCAATTATTATATTGCCGGACGAGGCTTGGGGAAACCCAAAACATTAGGTAAAACTAATTTCTCCACCTCCCTACCACAAAACAGTACACATTTCTTGCCCTATGCTTCTGCTTCCTGAACTCGAACATTATGACACCAGAGGTAATCAGCCATTCCCTCTCCCCATCCAGGCCATTTAGAAAGTCACTCTTGCCCTCGTTGTCTTGGCAACAGCAGCCTATGATAACCAATTTCCCCTCTGACTACTACCATAACATTGTTAAAAAGTGTCAACGGAGGAGCTGTAATCATAAAGGGTGTGTCTAAACTACAGAGTTTTGTCGACAAAAGTGGACTTTTGTCGACAAAAGTATACCTGCGTCTACACTACCGCTGAGTTCTGTCGACATAACGTCGACAGAACTCAGCAGTTTTGTCGACGCTGGTAAACCTCATTTTACAAGGCATAACGCCTTCTGTCAACAGAGTTCTGTTGACAGAAGGTGTTATTGCATGTCGGGTTGTGTCTAGACTACAGGGTTTTGTCGACAAAGCAGCTTGCTTTGTCGACAGAACTGAATGTAGTCTAGACGCTCTTTGTCGACAGAAGCTTTGTCGACAGTATCTGTCGACAAAACTTCTGTCGACAAAACCCTGTAGTCTAGACGTATCCAAAATGTAAAGCTGGAGGGGACCTCCAGAAGTCA